GTAAGAGCTTAAAATAGCCTATATTGAATGAAGAAACTTGACTATAACAAATTTGAAAAATTAGTTCACCGAGAAGAAAGAAAACAAGACTCGGAAATGCTCTGTAAAGTATTGTAAATTATTAATACGAGATATTGCACTCTATGTTTATAGACAGTCCTTATTCACCCATAAACTTTCTAGTTTTAGTCGTAATTATTCCAACATATTTTTTCCGTCGAGTAGCACTAAACTGATTTTTAACGATATCCAAAGATGTGATATTGTGTTGAACATAGTGTTTTTCCAGTGTCTGGGTGTTTATATATGCATAATGTCAATATAATAAAGTCACCATGACAAGGGTTGACTGGTAGAGAATGCCATTAGGCATTAAGTCCGCCCATTGTAGCCCTTAGCTAAGGTAGCAATGAAGCTTAAATAAATAAATAATATGTATTTATTTACAACTAAATTGTACCCGTAGTACAAGCGGTGTTTATTTTGGGACTAGAAGACGTTGTGTAAAAATATGTCCTGAAATATTGTTTTTGTTATTTATTGTAAAATTGTACTGGACTGAATTGTGAATCTAAAACATTCTCGAATCTACCTGAAGACACACAAAGAAGTGCATTAAAATCGGGCCAGCCGTTTAGGAGGAGTTCAGTGACGTTCACGTACAGAAAAATTATATATGTATACTAGCTGTCCCGGCAAACGTTGTTTTGCCATATAAATTATTTGTAGGATAGAAAAAATGTTTGGGATGGACCACCCTTAACATTTAGGGAGATAAAAAATAGATGTTGTCCGATTCTCCACCTTGGCCGATATGCACACGAAATTTCACGAAAATCAGTCGAGCCGTTTCGGAGGAGTTCAAATGCAAACACCGTGACACGAGAATTTTATACATTAGACTAGCTGTGCCCGCGACTTCGTCCGCGTGGAATTTAGAATAAAAAAATCTGAAATAAAAGTATCCTAAGTTACTCCTTATTACATCAGCTATCTGTCAGTGAAAGTCCCATCCAAATCGGTCCAGCCGTCTCAGAGATTAGCCGGAACAAACAGACAGACAGACAGACAAAAATTGTAAAAAATGTTATTTATAAAATGCATTTAGTAAAAAGCGGTTATTTTAAATATTAAACCAACAGACACTCCAATTTTATTTAGCTGTATAGATAAAGATATAAATAACAGGTGAGCGAACAATATCATTATCATTTTAGATACTCTAAGATTTTTTTGATTAATTTCGTTAATTTTTATTTAATCTACAATCTTTGAAATAATTAGGAGCTACGTTTATCCAAAAAAAAAAAAAATAAAGGTAAAACAACGTGGTAATGCATCAGCGAGACTAAAATAAATCTGTAGTTTGAAATAATAACCATCGTGAATATTGCTAAATTGAGTTGAGAAGGCAACCACTTGCTTTTGTTTGTTATAGTTAATTATACTAACATGATTCAGCGTTCATAACCTTTGTCACACCAGCAGATGTGAAACACAACACAAGTATTTATTAAATTCTTCGACGTGTGTTGGAAAAGTCCTTGCACAATCAATAGCTACATCTCTCGTTAAGATTTGCTATTTATCAATAACATAAAAACTGTTTTCAGAACATTTAGCACTACTTTTAAACTATCAACATTTAACAGGTAGACATTCACCAATGCAAAATAATATTGGTCGTTTGTTTGTGTGCTCCATTCTTTTAGAGAAAAGTTTAGACTTACTTATACAATTGGATTGTTACAAATTTTAAATATATACGAAAATGTCTGAGAAGTGTCGCGTAGTGGACTATGCCCTAATACCCTCTATAAAGATGCCTTTGAACAGCTGTTACTTTACTTTAATTTTTTATCTAAAAAGCATAGCTGACCTTTCTTTTACATTACATATAATAAAAATAACACGATTGTTAAGGAAATAGAAAGCTACATTGAAATAACGTTCGAAATCCGACCAAAGCGCAGGCCATAATAAAGGCATGGCTTTGAACGTAATTGTCCTAAACTAACTTGTAAGCCTTGAGGAGACGCCTATAATAAGGCTCTTCTCAATGTCAATCCGTGTGACGTCACCAAGGCAGAGTGCTTACTTAAGATAAGGTGTCTAATTTAGACGCGACCCCAAATGTTTTGTTGTGGTTTTCCTTGTTACTGAAATTGGGGCGAGCAAAACAGGAGGGCGGGGTAGTTCATAGCTTTGCGTTGCGGAACTTACACATTTCGATCGTTATGAAATATATTTGACGAATTTCCGTTTTCATTGTTTGTACAGGAGCGAAATAAAAACAAATATAAGCTTCTTATTCGCCGTTTCCTTGAGTAAACGCTTGTAATTTGCTCATTGACATGTGGATTTTTTATACGACTTTGCGATATAGATGTGACAATGGCGTAAGAGTCCATGAAAGTATAATAAACAGAAATAAAATTAAAGATGACCGGAGAAACGGCCATTATTTCGTTTTGTTTGTGATAGGGTCACATGGCAGCTGTTGCAAAAATCAAGAGCTGCTTCGTGGCCCTACCACATTATAAATTGTGAATTGTGAATTGAAGTGTTATTATACTGCGTAACGCATAGTACAAGGTATTAAGTTTATACAAAATAGTTAAGGTAACAACTTGCTAATAATATTAAAAATTACTAACTTTCCTATACTAGCTAGCGTGTCGTGATAGCTCAGTGTCCGGGCGCTCGCCTTTAATTCAATGTACTCGAGCAACCTGAGTTCGGTGCCGGCACCAATAAAGTTTTTAACTTTAAGTGCTGACTTATCACGTGCTCCACGGTGAAGGAAAACATCTTGAGGAAACCTGCATATTTTCGAAATAATAACAAAAAAATATATTTCGATGATATGTGTGGTCCGCCAATCCGCAATCGGGCCGCGTGGTGAACTATGCCCTGATACTACCCTCTGTATAGAGGAGGCCTTTGCCCAGCAGTGGGACATGTATAGGCTGTTACTTTACTTTTATTCTCTATATACTAACTATACTATATAGCCGCAAATAAGAAGTCACATGATATCATGGCACTATAAAGTCTTTTAAGAATTTGTGAAGGTTACATTCGGTCTCTATAACAACGAATGGCGATGATATCGTTTATCCGAAGAGCACACATTTCTTTGAAGTCTTCATTCAAAGGGGAACAGTTTCCTTGTGAAATAGGAAATACTATCTCGGATTCACGAAATCCCTTGAGTTTTACAGCGCCACTTTATTGTGAGAGTTGTTTTGTTCATTTAACAATAGCAAAAATTTCGAAAAATAAGCGTAAATGCAACTCTATAACAAAATTAGATTCATTTTTCTTATGTACTTCGTCAACTGTCATATTTTTGCTAGCTGTTTTTGTGAAGACGATCAGCTATTTGTGTTTACCTATTTAATGATAAAAGGCTCCCGCGCCTATTATCATTAAGCTTACCGCGCTTCCCGTCCGCCTAGTTTCTATCCGCGTTGAATTAATCCTAAGAAAAGCTAGCAATATCGTTAGCATGGACTAATTAATCTGAGGCTTTATATACAATGCTAACAGAATATTAACCGAGCATATACGAATTTCTTATAAAAGTATATACTTCATAATGTCCTTATATGCTTACTGGGAATACATTTTGTAATATCAAATTTCACTTATTTTGTAATTATTTGTAAAGAGGTATTAAAATAAAGTTCACGTCTAACCTACTCTTTATAGAAAAAAAACATTATTTTTAAATATAAATGTGTTTGCCTGAAATTTAATGGTCTTATCCCCAGGATTTTGTTAATTAATCACGAAAGAAAACTTTTCGTAAGTTTTATCCCCACATTTTGATCGAATAACATTAAAGATCAAAGTGCCACTGTCGTCACTCCCAAAATAAGATTGAGACACATTTTGTTTTAATAAAGGAAAAGCAAAGTTTAGTTCAGAGCAAGATCCCCTCTGGGTGTTATCAAGCTGTTATTAGATAAAGAGAACACTTTATGGGGAACCCATTATCTCTCCACGTTAATGTTTAGGTCTTTATATTATTTTTTATCCTTATCGGGGCTCTGAAACGTAAACTGCGACTTCCTTGCCGGGCATAGGAGCAGGAGAGCCATTACAAACAGGTAGCAAGCCTAACTATAGACAGCCGTGGACCAGTTCTCTGGCTCTACAGCTCACCACAGGTTGATCTTGCAGGGTGAAGAGAATTGCGTAGTGCTCTTTATCTTCAGCGACTCGCGACCTAACGCAATTGCTCTCCCCCCGGTTTCCTCGTTCATTCCTGAGAACAGGGAGAGTAGCTCCACGTCCACCACCCTATCGGGTCTGCTTATGCCACAGACCAGCACAATGTAGGTTCCTCTCTGCTTAACCATGAGGAACTACGCCATGGCTACTAAGCCCCTACGCCGCTAAGCTGGAAGCTCTCTGATATCTGCGGAGATGCACTAATCACACTCATCGCTTCAGAGCGTCATAGACATGGTGTACGGGATTGAAGTCGGGACTTCGAAATTGAATTCCGACCTGTGTCATTTACGCTTCAACATCTCCAAACCGATGGGCGCAAGCGTTGTCGTCCTCAGGTTGATAATAATTAAGAGCATTTTAAGGGAAATAAATAAGACTTTAGTGATAATCTAAATCTGTTATTTCGGTACTAATTCACTTCATTATTATATACGAGACGGGACATCTAATTATCCTTCATTGATCTAATATCCAATGATATTTAACAATATAGATGACGCATTGTACATACTGCGTGGCGTTTAAATATTGTTCCGCTTTACATTATAAGAGAGATGTAAGTGAATTTGACCTATTCGATAGAACGTATGATACGGAAAGAGATAGAAGTCTATAGAATTGCAAACTAATTACACCAATTGGTTCAGTTTGAGTGCCTCAGTTTTTGTGCTAATATTATATGACAAATACTAGGTAGATATGAATCTACCTAGTATTTGTATATAATTTCATTGCTCATACAATCGTTTTTGTTGCAGTGTTCGCTCATTTAACGATGTGGTCGCGAAAGCAGTCGGTGTGCAGTGCCGTGAGCGGTGTCTCCAAAGGCGACGACCTTCTAGCAGCTTCAGTGCAGACCTACCCGTTTGCAAATGCCTTAAGAGTTAGAGTTTTGCAGGTGAAACCAATGCCGAATGTATCATTTGCATTTTAGTTTTTATACTCGTATTTTACTGTTAATGCCTGAATAAAAGATTCGAGGACAATCTCAACAATGGTCTCGGTAACTGGGACTTTTTTTCAAGAGTAGTTTGAGGCACTAATTATCTCCATCGCCCTTCTAATACCTTCCAATACAATCCAATTCAATTATGTGAAATTACATGTAATACTCTTTTCTAGCTACTTCAATCCTTCGATGTTCTAATTCTGTGTTCTTCGGAAACCTGTTATCGCACTCTTTTAACTTTTGTATATAGTTAGTATTATTATATGAGATATAGAACACAAAGAAGTTTAAGTTTCTAATAGATTTTAATATAAAAGTTTAAAAAAGTTCAGGGATAAAGATACTTTATAGCCCAATTATATTGTATAACATATTACTTGGATACAGCTAAAAATAGCTCGTTGAGTTTCACTATAAATATAGGTAGACATTGCATGCGTGGTATAAAAATAGAGATAGAATTAACAATAAAAGCGCAAGTAATGTATGCAAGATCAAAATAATCCCCGACAGTGAAGACGCGATGACCGACGATTCGCAGATTTACAATATACCTCAGACTCTACCTTACAGGTGTTTTACGATACTTTTATCTTGTCTAGGGCTGACACTAGCACACTACACGCAGAGGTGTATAATCTAGGACAGAAATATGCTAATGAAATTAAATAAATAATATGCAAATAACTAATTAATATAATTGACAAATTGGTATAAAATATTTAATCACGAATTTTCACTTTTTACTAACAAAATAAAGTCACGTTTTATGTCTGCCTTATAGACACTTAGTAATGGAATATTAATCTCTTCTGTGATATTATTACAATCTGCGCATAGTTTTGCTATTGTAAGATTTCATTTGTGTTATTTCGACGGGAGAGAATCAATGTAAAGGTCTAGGCCCTAAGCGAAATTTCATACGCCTCAATGTAGCCGCCTTTTTTGACGAGCGCAAACATGTGCGAGTCATAAAACCAGTGGGTATTTTGGAAGAGTACATTTGAACACACGCCAGAGTAGATACGGCGTTTATCAAAATAAACACGGCCGTAATTAAATAGATACCTTATCCACTTCGCAAATGTACCCCTTATCTTGTATAAAGGATTAGTTAAAAATAATCGATACTTATGACACCATTCGGGCCAACTTGAAGGTTCGATTAAATATGTCTCCTTTAACCTATTGTACCACATACAATTATTGGTGGACATAAATCTAAAAACCAAACCAAGCCCAACTTACGTAATGTACATATAATGCATAAGCTACTATAAATATTTTTTTAAACGTAACCTAAAATATTATCTGTTTTTCTTGAGAATACCTGTGTAACTGTTGTCTTATTCGTATTTATACAGCATTCAATTATTATGGATTCCCATGACGGCTTCGCCCAAGAGCGAACAGTTTTTACGGTGAATTCCTCAAGTATATATGAATTCATTTTTTTTTTGTAATGTTTGTGTTGTTACGCTGGATAAAGGTTTTTTTTACACTTATGTCAACATAATAGCTGTATTCTATTTTTATTTTTATTTTAATATTTTTGTTTTAGTTGTATTTTTTTCTCTTTAACATACATTTACTTACAAATATGTGAATCTATCAATGTTGTGTTTGCCTATAATTTGGATGTGCAATTAGTTTTAAGCATTTACATTATTGTATAGATGACCTAAGTAAGTCTTCTTGTCACATCTGCAGGAGAGCTTAATAAATAAAAAAAAAGTATAAACAGATGTGACAATTTCCACATATAATTTTTCTATTTGAGTATACTTCTTAACATATTTTTTTCGAATTGAAAATAAAACTATTTAAGTGATTGAAATTACGGCCTACGGTGGTAGGGCCACGCGGCAGCCTCGGCTGTTGCACGAACGGGCAGGCCCATCCGGGTAAGTACCACGACCTCACACAGCGTAAAGTGGAAGTATGACAAATACATTCGCGTTTCGTCTGATGAGTGAGGTAGCCGGCGCCCAATTTTCAAAAGGTTGTCAACGCATCTGTAACCCTCGGGCGTAGCAGATATCCATGGGCGGCGGTATTCACTTACCATCAGGTGAACCGTCTGCTCGTTTGGCAACTTTTCACATAAAAAAAAATTAAATTCTAAAAGATAAATATGATGTTCATACTCTATTTTCTTTCAACATATAGAATCCACAAACCCTAAAATAACAAATAACTTTATCTAAGCATCAGCGAGAACATTGTTAAAATCTCGTTGTACTACTATGTTACTTTAAGCATTTCATTACTTAATTTCCCTTCAGATCGTTTGTGGCATTGGAGGTTTAGTGGTTGGAGCCGTTGGTTGGCTGGAAGAGAAACAGAAACCAGCGCTAGGACTAGGAGTACCAGCTGGAGCTATAACTGTCGTAGCTGCAAGTAAGCTCTGACACACAAACACAAACGCAATCTGTCACTTTTATCACTTATGGTTGCAGGAGTCAAAAATTCTTGAATGAGTTGACATCATCTGGTATAAGAGAAACGGTGCAATGAATAAAATAAAAACTTCCAAGTCTTTGGAGATACAGTAGGAATGTTGAAGTCCTCTCAATAGATAAATGCCTCGAAAGTTTAATATAAGTGCCAGCACCGGGATTTCATCTCGGGTTGCTCGAGTATCCTAAATTAAAAGCGAGCGCCCGGGACATGGCTATATATTGGCGTTGTGGATGATGAGCTTGTCTCTTGAGCCAGACGGTGTGGGTTCGATCCCCGCCGTTCCGAGGGCGTTCCGCTTTTCTTAGCTTATGTATAGATAACGTTGTGCAAAAACATGTGCTGAAAATATTTAGTCTTTTATTTGGAGCCGTGATAGCTCAGTATCCGGGCGCTCGCCTTTAATTGAATTTCGGTCGCGTGGTGAACTATGCCCCGATACCCTCTTTACAGAGAAGGCATTTTCCCAGCAGTGGGACATTTATAGGCTGTTACTTTACTTTTTTTTATTTATTTACATTTTGCCTTTGTGTCATACGTGTAAATCATTAATACAGTGAAAAACATTTCACCAGCGACGTCGGTTTACTACAGTCGCGGATTCGGCGGCTGGAACTCGGCGCGGTCGAGGACGTCGAGGAGTTGGGGGACTCCCTGGCGGGCTCTGGGGCCCGCGCCCTGCGCCGCCGTGCCGCTCACTATCCTATGGGTGGTAGCCGTAGCGGCGCATATAGCGATGCTCTCGTTCTGTGTCAGAACCCTGATGAACTTGGGGTTAGTAAACTGCGATCAAACTTGTTTCTTTTGTTTTTGAAATTTACCGTATTGCCCTTACAACAAAGGTAACATTATACTGTGTTGTAAGGACGTTTTACAAATTAAATTTCAAGTGGACAAACATCCAGATCTGAAACAATTATCTACTGGTAGTGTCCCGTGTGGGAATCGAGCCTATGACCCCGGCACTAAGGCAATACCTTCGCAAGTGCGTCACGCAGTCATCTATACTTGGTGTGGCGCCTTGAGCTGTTTTAATAAATTTTATGAATAACAATTACTCATCGAGTATAAGTAATATCACTGAGCCGTAAACGGTAGCTAGTCTATGGTAGAAGCACACACAATAATGTTAAGATATTAATTTTACTATATTGATAAATTAAAAGCGCATAATACTAGAATTAAGGCCCTTTTACACGGTGCCAGTTTCTTGCCTGTTGTATACAATTAAATTGAATCAATAAATAAGTTGCATGGTCTAAACAACAAATGGTCTAATCAATTATTGCGCGCAATTTATTGCATTCAATTATTACTCTTGCATGTACAAGAAAATGGCATCGTGTAAATGGGCCTTTAGAGATAAAAATACCTTATACAAACACTCCCATTTTCAATATCAAAATCTGGCCAACTTATAAAGAAACAGTTGTATTGTTTTCAACAACTTTGGAAATAAAAGCAACACAGATGTTTGAAATAGGAACCGGTGTCGTGAAAGACAAATTATTTCCAACTTCAAGACTTTTACAACGCTTGGAAACGCTTAAGCGTAAACTTAATTATAAAATAAAAATCAATGAATACACAAGTCTGCAAGGCGGAGATCGAGAAAAAATAAATTTTATTTATAGAAATTATTATTAAAATAAATAAAATTAACTTGTTCTAAAGAATGGTTTATTCTAAAAATGAATTGTAATTACAAAAAGATATATATAGTAGGTAGCAGTGCTCATAATATATGCCGTTCATATAAATGGAGAGGGTCGAGATTACAGACTGTGACTGTGCCTCCTTATCTATATTGTCCCCTCCTATATTGTGCTAGCAATATGGTTGAAATATGCTGGTCTATGGTTTCCATTACTGACTTCGCTCAATTCGTCACCGTCGCCAACTAGAAAGCAATCGACATTTAATTACGTATTATTACGTATGTAATTTAGAAAACTGAAACTACGTAACAGAAAGGGCTAAAAAATTTAGCCCTTTCTGTTACGTAGTATATGTATACAGGGTGCTACAGAAAGATGTTGTAATATTTAAAGGCTTAAATATATATCAGACTTTGAATCAAATGGCATAATTTTAAAATACGAATCTAAGCATTTTTTGACGATAAAAATTTAAAAAATTAATTAACTGTAACAACCCTGATTGTAGAAGTCACTGACCGCGCATCGGTGTTATCGCTCCAAACTCACACACGCATACATCTGATCGCCCGACTTATTCCCCTCTCCCTCCACTTGACCTTGACCCCACCCATCGCCAAACTGCCACGACGACCGCATCGTGCTGCAGTTCGCGGCGATCCTTAATAATAAAATCTGATTGACTTTTCTTTTGATTCCTGAATAAATATTCACTATCGGGAAATAAAAGAAAGACACTGTTTTTACTACTTTTATTATTCTAAGTACATGTCCGCGTCGGACATAAAAACAATTTTTACATGGCATTATTAATAGTATCCTATAGTCGGTCAAACATGTCCACGATTTTAACAATTACTTACAACTAATTACTATTGAAATTTTGGAATAAACATTAAAGGCTTTACAATGACATTTTGAAAGGTAACAAATCATACAACGCCGATGAGTTTATTCAACACGACATCTATGATACATAATCGGATAACAATAACAAGAATATTTTTTAATTAAGATCAGTGTAAGGTATAAAATGATGTTTATTAAATACCTAGACTTTCTAATGAGATCAACGTTTACTGAGTCAACCGCACTCCCGTGCTAATCGGTTTCAGTTAGATAGCGGGCCTCTATTATTTCACTGTAATAGCATGTCAGAACATAGACATTGTCACAACTTAAAACACACCGAAGTCCGAATAAAAATTCCCATAAAAACCGGAGCGCTTCTTCATTTGCAAAGAAACGACGCGTACACGGTCAGGCGCTTCGGGCAATCGCTCATTCCAGCTCCTTTTTATATCTTCTTCCTATCTTAATTTATTTCAGCATTCTTGCTTGCTGTTCACTTGTTTCGGCTTGTGGCAAATGCTTGTGGTGCAGTTGGTGTGCCTCAAATAGTACGCGCATACGTCCGAACTCCAGAACATCTTTGCAGAAATAATTCGTAGGTAGAAGCGATAGTTGCGTCAAAAGTTGGTGTACTCGTAGTAAAGTTCAAAATAAATCGATAGTAGTTCTATCCGCAGCACTGAATAATATCATGTAGTAATTACTGAGCATATGACTATGTCTGTGACAACTTTTATCAATAATAAATCGATAGTTAAAAAATAAAAATCATTAAATAGACTTCATGCCTCAATGGCTGGAGAGTAACTGATTGAATCAGTTACTCTCCATCAATCAGTCTGATTCGAAAATTTAAATAACACAAAGAAAGCGATTTATTTACCTACCAAAGCGGCTTATGTAGTTAAACACATAAGCAACGTTTGTGCAGGACTATTTTGCCGCGCCGACAATAAGGTTACCATGTCTACTGATACTCATTCTACATATTTTAATGTTCAATCTTAAGTGCAAAGATTAGCACTATAAACAATTTAAATTTCTAAAAAAAAAAAAAGCAATGGCGACATCTCTCGTTTGAATTATCGTTGTAAAACGATATTCGAAATTGTTTGTATGCTGGAAAGGATATAACGATAGATGGCGCTAAGTATTGCTTCAAATGCTAAGAAAACAATGTTGAGGAATGCGTTAAGATTTTCGTCGGTGTGGTAATCAGCCGTTTAGCTCAGTGGCTAGAGCGTCAGGCCGCGAATGCCGAAGACGTGAGTTCGATTCCCACAGCGGCGACAATCTTTTCGCACTTTTTCTACATATTTTAAGTACTAGAAATTTGGTCATAAACTAAAGTTAAGGCCCATTTACACGATGCCATTTTCTTGTACATACAAGAGCAATAATTGAATGCAATAAGTTGCACGCAATAATTGACCATCAAGAATTGTAAGCAACAGTTTACACGCAGATATAGTAAAAAAAATTGAATGCGATTATTGAATGCAAGTCTTGACAAGAAATAATTGCAAATGTCTTTTGTTTACACCAATGCAATTATGTTTAGGCGATTATTGCTTTCAAGTTTTGACTTGTCTAAACACATGCTTGTATGTGCGTGTACAATTTATTGGCGTGTTGCTTCAAGTATTGCACGTATTTGCGTTGACAAATTTTTCATGCAAGTGTTGAACGTTATACAAAGGGCTGTTTTTTTTAAAAAATGGCTCAATAATAAGTGTTCAAGTTAGATTATGCCGATTCAATATATTTCATTGAGATTTATTTATTATGATCCATATATTATTATTCATATTTTTATCCAACTTTTTATACGACCTTTTCTCAATATTTCTTGCCTCAAAAGAACAGCAACGATTAAATACCCTCACTCATTGCACTCATTTTTGCGAAGGAAGAGAGAATGCAATTGAATACATGAATTGCTTAAGAAATTATTGTGTGTGCTGTTTACACCAAGGAAAGTTTTGAAACAAAACTTGAAGCAAGTCTTGTTCAACAGTCAAGAATGTTATGTGCTGTTTAGACAATGCAATTCATTTATTGCTTCAATTTAATTGTATATAACAGGCAAGAAACTTGCACCGTGTAAATGGGCCTTTAGTGTTTGGTTGATCGATTTCAGATAAAGATTACTTATAATATCATTGTCACACTAATTGTAATACATACATTTTGTATGCTCTTTTTATCAACAGCATAGACTATTTTATCAGTACATATTGAATGAAATCATTATCTTTTCATTAATCTATTTATATTATTATACCTTTACTAGCAACCCGCCCCGGCTTCGCACGGGTGCAATGTATTATACATAATTATAAACCTTCCTCTTGAATCACTCTATGTATTAAAAAACCGCATCGAGATCCGTTGTGTAGTTTTAAAGATCTAAGCATACATAGGGACAGACGGACAGCGGGACCACCTTGTTTTATACTATGTAGTGATTACTGTATTTCGAATTTCATTTCGTATGATATTTCGAAGATTAATGAATCGAGCATTTTAAAACCCAAAATACTTTATAGAAAGAAAAACCCAATACATTAGTAAATTTTGACGACAGATCATTTTATAATTTAAAATTTTATCAATTTCGTTGTCCAGGTGGCGCTGTTTTTCGAATTGTTGAATTTAGATAATTATTTTGATGTCACGGATATCAAAAATAACAAAATTTTGTCATTTGTTCACATACATGTACGGTCAAATTAAATAAAATTATTGAATTAAAAATGTGTTCACTCTTAATTTGTCTAATACAAATAGGCACAACACGTAATATCGTTAATTAAATAACTGATAACCATAAATAGTTATAATTCAATCTACAAGATGGCACTGTTTCATATTTAATAATTTTGGGCAAAAAAAAAATAAGAAATTTATACAAATTGACTTTACTATGTTCAATACAAATAAGCATTTAGACAAAAAAATAAAAAAAAAATAATTTTGGACTATATTTTTAAATAATTTGTAATTTTTTTTTTTGTTTTAAATGAAAGCATGGAGGTTCGCGCCAAAATTTTTAATTAAACAATTAAAATTTTTTGCGGAAAGTATTAAATAAATTAGCGTTCTTAACGCGACGCGTTGAGTCGATGTGAAAGACATCGACTCTCGGGCTACGAGCTTGTTCGGTTGGTGGCAGCAGGTGTAGTTATTTATCGCGCGCATTAACAAAAATTAAAAAAATCTGCAAAGAAATCATGAACTTTTTCTTTATTGTGCGGAACCAAACAAATACCATTAACTTGATATTAGATGGATACCTTATTAAATGTCAAAAAAAAATTTTAGTCCATAATAACAGCTTAAACTTAATTTTCGGTACCTATTAAATTCATTGCATTAATTCTTATTCAGTGTACAAAGCATTCTGAAAAAAGTAAAAAAAGTAATTTCATGGATCCATAAGCATAACTATCATTTTATAGTTAGTTATGATTCTTCGATCTAATTACAGGTGTTTTGAATGACCTTCTATTCAAATCCATCAGTCCACGTGGATGGTCGGCGTCAAACAAAGAACGCCTTTGTATTTACCGCACTCCCTAGAACTAGTGTTACCAGATGTACCGATCCGCGTGGAATATCCCGATATTCTGATGTTCGGTCATCCCCAATTTTTATAGACCTTAGTCCGTACTTTGTGCTACAATTTTGATAGGAAAAATAAACAAAACTGTAAGCTGCCATCATATGAAAATAATTTTGCTGTGAAATTTTCACATTTTCTCATGAAGTTAATAGTCTGCATAATAGTTAAAATAACTTAAGCTTAAAATAATACTTGAAAATGAGCCAAAAGCTCTAAATAGTAGATTATTTTGTGGTATTTTAAAGAAGGTCAACTAGATTCTAAATGTTTTGTTTGGTTTTTGTCTACTACAAATGAAAAATATCAATGGTAAAATACCATTAAAAGAATACCTGACCTTCCAGCAATAGTTAAATGTTGATTCACAAAAAGTTTTTGTTATAGCTATGCTGATTTGAAAATTAAAATAGCCAATTATTTTCTCCCGTCCTGTAATATTACTCAGTAGACATGGTAACATTATTATGCGAGCGGCGAAATAGTCCTCATCCTCAACAAACGTTTCCTAAGTACTTACCGACATACAGCCGAATGCCGCTTAGGTAGTCCAATACATAAAATATGCCGTCGCTTCGTTATTTAAACTTTTAATGAAATCAGTTACTTTTTAGACATTACGGTGTGAAGACAAGTTCGTGATTTTTATTTTTTATTCTCAATTAGTTATTAATGACAGAAATGCGTTGCGGAGAGAATTGCCGTCGATTTACCTTGAAACTACATTATTGGTTTTTTCGATGACAGGCAGTCTTTGACGCCATAAGTATTAAGAAGAAACGCCAAAAGACAGCAAGCAAGAATGCTGAAATAAATTTAGAACAGCTGCCAGTTGTGTTAAAAAGGAGTTGGTAGGATCGGCCCGCGTCTGCGTCCGCGCCCTATACGCGTCGTCCCCTAAACCCTTGACCTTGGTGTGTTTTAAGTTAGTGACAATGACTATCCCAAGTGCTGAAGTGCTATAACAGTGAAAGAATATTATCGCGTAATGGAACCGACCGACACCGATAAGCACGAGTTTTCTTAGTAAACGCTGATCTCATTGGAATGTCTAGGTATAGGTTATTTATTTAAAATAAAGATTTTATTTTTTCAACTTTATAATTACATTGAACTTACTTAATTCGAAATTTATTTTTGTCATTATTATGTATTATGTATCCGCTATAACATGATAATGTATCTCACTGATGTTGTGTTGAATAAATTTATCGGCGTTGTAAGATTTGTGAGTTGTAACCTTCTAAAATGTTTGTACCTTCCACTGCAAGCAATTTAATGTTTAATTCAAAATCTCAATACTAAAAAATTATAAGTTACAGTGGACATTGTGAATATGTTTGACCAACTATAGGATTCTATTATCAATTCCATGTAAAAAATGGGATATTTGCTTTGAAAAATAAACGTAGTAAAAATAGTGTGTCTGTGTTTTTATTTCCTTATAATGAATACCTATCTTTAATCAAAAGAAAAGTCAATAACATATTAAGTAGGGCTCATGGACTACCAGTATAGCTATTTCGTGTCTATCTGTTGTGACAAAATCCGATAAATTCAAATAAATTTTGATGATAAGCACGTTGTTTGCATAGCATTGCCAGGACCTGCAGCGCGATGCGGTCGTTGTCAAAGTTTGGTTGGCGAGGGGCGGGCGGAGGGGACCGATAAACTTGAGGAGCGGGAAGTGGGGTAATGACGTAACGAGGATAGGAGGGAGAGGGGAATAAGTCGGGCGATCAGATGTATGCGTGTGTGAGTTTGGAGTGATAACACCGATGCGCGGTCAGTGACTTCTACAATCAGGGTTGTTACAGTTAATTAATTTTTTAATTTTTATGTTCAAAAAATGCTTAGATTCGTATTTTAAAATTATGCCATTTGATTCAAAGTCTGATATATATACACGCCTTTAAATGTTACAACATCTTTCTGTAACACCCTTTATATGTAGGTATTTTTTAGAGGTAATAAAGAATATTATTATACATTCATGTAAATTAATCGTAGGTAGTGCTCGGCGTAGTTCGATTTATACCTGCTGCTGAATTTTGCCATCGTACTACGCTTCGAACTGCCAAATACCACCGCCACCACCAGAACTTCCACTTGCCCCCCCCCCCCCCCCCCCCCCCTTGACAAATCTTGAAATGAGACATATTCGGTGAAAACTAATAGTGAGAAACAACACACCAAGTGATACCTGCTCTACATGTCAATGAACCATCCCCATTCACTTCGTTGACCTTTCACTAGAACCGTTTGCGATAGATGCAGTAGCAAGACTTGCGTGGGAGTGGCGGCGGCTCAGTTGGCAGTCTCTATCAGCACGTTGGCGGCGGCGGTTTACATGCTGCAACTCGATTTGCGGTACGACCCCGCAGTGACCCCGCCGCGGCCCCCCGACACTAACATCTGTACCGCTGTTTCAATGGTAAGCGGTGCAAAGATACATTCCTTATACATTCAAAGCTACTGGTCGCTACGTGTTTATTTAGGCCTTTCGTCTGGTGAAAGAGTATTGCTTTTATTACACTTACATCGCTGAAAGTCAATGTAATTATACTGCAGCTGACATAAAGACTATTACGAGTCATGGGTTCCTGGTCCCGATTGCATAAAAGTCAAAGTCAAATATCTATAAATTAGATCAAAGTCAAATATCAAAATAGAAACATCACACTTACTAATTGAAAGTCAAAAAACTCTACCACCGGTTTGGAGGGAAAGCCACTGACTAGAGAAGAACCGGCGAAAGAAACTCAGCGGGACATTTTTTTTAACTTGACAAAAAATAACAAATATATGTACAATTGAGAGACAGAATCCTAACTTGCTAGTGGTGAAGTTGCCAGGGCCAGCCCTAAACAGACCGCGGCAGTGGGATAAGGTGTAGCGCTTCTATTGTTTTTGACAATGTCTTCAGAACGGAACTGCTGTCGGATTCGGGCCCCCGTTGGCCTCTTCCGACAGGAGGTCGGGCGCGGCCACTTTCGGCTCTGTTGTACACTCTACGAGCCAACCGGACCACAAACTCACTACGGACGGACTTTATCTTTAACGGGCTGTCAAGGCTGTCGTAAGGGTGGTGTCGTTTAACAACTTATATAATAAGCCTTCTTGCCACACTTTGCCAAAGGCCTTCTCCATATCGAGAAACATCCTCAGGCGGGAGTTGTACTATCTTGCCAGCCCTGTGGTACCCTGTGGTAGTACTGCAAGAATGTGCGCGAGCAGCGATTTTTGTGCCCACATCTTTTTTTCAGGTTTTTTCTCCTATTAACCAATCGAAGTGCTAAGCTTCCTAAGGGAGTATGTCTTTTCGGTGCACGCTGCAAATGTTACAGATGCCCACGGGCGGCTGTAATCGCTTACGGTCAAGTGAGCCGCTGTAGCGAATTTACTTCAAAACCTTAAATTTATACGGAACATTTAACCGCGACTTTAAGATAAGGAGCGAAAAATCTTCAACAGAAAATTAACAAAGAAGGCAATTAAGACAATCCAACGTCGAGTTTCTTTACTTTCAATGATTTTTTTTGCTTTTAGTTAGGAGACTATTAAATCCTCATCGAACGAGTCGAGAACTCGTGAAATAGCCAGATCCCACGAGCTTATTGACAGCATTGCTATCACCACTTGTTGCGTTGAATACCGTTTTGCCTCGTATATCTTTATGCAGCTTCGCTCCCGTTGCTCTTTCGTAGCCCGAGTTTAAAATAGACCGTCGGATTCAATAATGGACTGTATCTATCATACGTGATTTGTTACAAACGGCGGGGTAAGCCGTCCTTATGGTTAATATAACAGGCGGTGTTATGAATAAAGCTAAAGTATCTCCCTAAAACATCTTTAAATCTCTTGACATAATAGTTTGATAAATATTGGACTTGCCAATTTTACCAACATTCTTACCAATTTTAGCTTTTCAAAGAGTATTAATTACTGCAATTGATACGGCTACGAACATCTCCGATGGATGATATGTATATGTTTATTAAAGCGTTACATTACCAAATAATTTTAGATTGTCATGTGGTAACTGGTATAACACGTAACGAAACAAAAAAAATTGTAAATCTAATGAATGACATCTACATTCATGTCTAAGAAGTCGATGGAGAAAACTTGATTCATTCAAACTTTCGCTAACTTATTTGCTGTATTCACTTTGTAAAGCTAATAACATAAGTCGGGACCAAATTAGTTTCGAATTAGTTAAGTAAGCCGAAAATCTTGATGACCTGTTTTGTTTTGTGGATAATGAACTTGTCTTTTACACCAGATTCCGTGGGTTCGGAAAAATAATGTTTTTCAACGAACATCAGGGTGTTTATATATTCTTCATAATATATTTATTTTGAAAAGAAAATTATTTTTAAATCTGTTTATCAATTTCCTATCCACAGTATCCACAGTACAAGCTTGGCTTTAATTAAATAGAACTAGATATCTTCCACAGATTTCCACAACAGGCGTAGGATTCCAATGCAATTATCAATCGACAAGTTAGTGCCCTGCCTACCTACACACAAAAAGCTTAAAAAAACAAATTCCTCTACTTTACATCGCTCTTTTATTAGATACTTTACGAAAAAGCCCACACATTAATGCAATATGGAAGCTTCCCAGAAGAACAAACACTAAGCCAATGAAAAGTGGATCAGTGACAGAACAACGGTACGCATTCGAAAAAAATTATGGATTTGAGTGAGACAGGGTGATTCTTAAAATCGAGATGTGTGCTATTTTAGTCTCTACACACCAAGCCTGTCTACATTCACACGTGTGAATACACGAATACATGTTTGAATGAATATGAGACAAGCCTGTCTCGTCTATAGCCCTGTCTGTGTGAATGAATATGAAACAGCCTTATTTGTACAGTCGATTTTTTTATTAGGTCCCGTTGACGTCCGTTGCAGTAAACAGCGGCAACAGCGCCGACGGTGGAGACTCAGCGGGGAGTCCCCTGTCGAAGGAAAAGAACACCCAGTCGCCGCAGCATGAACCCCCGACTTGATACAGCGGCCGCGCGTAGAAATTCGCTTAAATCTCTCATTTATTCTAGTGAACACTTACCATTTACGAGTATACCTGAACTTCGTCTAAATTATTCGGATCATGTTTTAAACCGATGTGCGAAATTTACCTTGACTATTTTCATTTCTCATCTTGACATGATGACGGTCCGAAATGACGACATTTTATACCAATTATTGCGTCATCTAATTAAAAATATATACAGGCCTCTGCTTTTTGTATAACTTTAATATGCTGTATAGGCCTACATGAATAAGTAACGTTATTTCTGTACAAGAGTAAGTTCATCCTGCATAGTAAGATAATTTTAGATTTATAATTGTACATAGGCAAGAACACAGATTAAAAAAAGATCGTCTGTAATACGAATTATGTCAAATTCAAATTATAAATATATTTATTCGAATAGACGCTTGCGCATTGTAATGAAACGTCGAATTTTACATAATAATTGAAACATAAGTTCGTAAGTAAAAAAGAATATATACATATACTTATATTATTACAGAAAAGATATTTTATCTGTACAATCCCTTAGCTGTTTCCACTTTTCGTGTCAGCAATTACAATATCGCCAATCAATTATTCTTTCAACTAACGAGTTATACCGTAACCACGTAAATTCTAAGGCTAAGCGTTTAGTTTCTACTGAAGTTAGGTAGAAAAGGAATGAATTGTCGTTGCGATTCTACACGGATCATACAAATCATGCCTCGCGTAGGGGTCGAACGTGCAACACAATGCACAAAAGCTGATACTTTACCACATGTTCACTGTACAATATCTTTGTATTGAGCCAGTCTCGTCGTTAATGTAAATTAAATATGTACATAAGCGCTCTTCTTAATATTTACAAGTTTTGTATGGCGTTATTTGTGTAAATAAATTTAATATACATTTAACTGTTGTATATTATTGCATGAATCCTTTCTAATTTATCTTATAGCTTAATAACGAGCTAAATTTAGGTTTAGACATATGACTAAATCCCACAGGCAAACCGGTCACCTGTGGGGTTGTGGATAGAAATAGGTTCAATTTTGAATGTGAATTCCTACTTTTCATTTTATTTCATACATTTCTAATAATTAAACGTGTAATTTGAATTTTGAACATACAATAACCACCATGATTTTTTATTACAATTTTTTAACTCAATTAGTCAATGGTACGCTACATTCCTAATAGCCTTTACTTAATGTTTTCTCAATATTTGACTTGGTTTCACAGCTATTTCGTCATGTCATATATGGACATGATTACTTAAAACTACTTGCATAATTTAACTGAGGTGTGAATTTGTGCAAAATAACAAAACATAATCATAATACTCCTTACATTATTATGTGAAGGGACGTAATATGATGTGTGTAAAGTGTGCAAGCAACGCGTTTGATATAACGAGGGTCATTTTAACAGTTTTGAGTGCAGAGTAAAAATTGTACAGAAGTCCAGCGCGAAGTTCAAGATAACCATCGCGTACGACTTTCATCATAAGGGGAGAGGTACAATTCTACTTTTATTATTTATGGTGCCAACATTTTAAGGTTTCCGTACCCAAAGGGTAAAACTGGTCCCTATTCTTGTATCTTGTATTAACTGATGTTTTTGCTTTCAGTCCCGAGACTATTAAAGCTTCATTTGACGCAGAACCGGTGGGCTAGCCAGAACCCACGGGTTTGGGCCCTCCGCTGTGGGTAGGGCCACGCATGTACTCATGCGTCCGTTTAACTATGGTACGTTATCTAAGGGCCATCAAGGTCGTGGTTCGGACCGAAACCCCGATGGCCGTCGACTGTGCAATTAGCTAATCGGTGGCTGGGGGCGGTGAGAACCGCCCCGGAGCGCGGGTGTACCTTGTGTACGCGTTGTGTTGGTCTCGCCGTGCTCGGAGGCGAGGGCGTACTAATGTGTTTGTTGTTGCACTAACTGTGGGTGTAGTGTTATCCGGCGGGACCCCCGGCAGTGGGTCCGGCTTGCCTAAGTCCCCTTCCTCGACCGGGTCGATTAGGACGTTTCGCGGGCGACGCTTGTTGACGTTCGCGTTTTGGTCGGGTTGGTAATTTGCTGCGCTTACCACCAGAGGGTTGGGATGATGTTCGGCTCTATCGAAGAACCGTTTGGTCAGGTCTTTAAAATATTCGCGAATCGTCGGGAGTCTGCAATCGCTGTGCAGATCGACGTTGCGTTGATACCACTGCGCACCGGTTGCGCGGCGGATGAACTTATTTTGTACTATTTGCAACTTGTACAAGCGAGTAGGGTGCGTGTGGGCGAAGGTCATGCATGCGTAAGACATAATAGGTCGTACGCAGGTCTTATATAATAATAATTTGTGCCTTAAGGGCATTTTACTTTTAGCGTTACTTAAATTGTGTAGCCGGCCGGAGACGAACGCGGCTCTATTGCGAACGTTATTAATGTGCGTAGTAAATGACATACGCGAGTCGAAAGTGACTCCTAAGTATTTGACCTTTTTCTCCCAGGGGAGCGGTTGGCCATAAAGGGATATTTGCCCCAACTTTCTGCATTGACGAGGGCCATTATAAAGATGTGACGGGTAAGTAATTCGTGTGAAGTGAATCGCCACACACTTTTCGGGATTTATTTCTATTCTCCATTTGCGGAACCAATCGCCGAGGCGGTCGGCAGCGCTTTGGAGTCGAGCGGTTAGTTGTCTAAGGTTGCGGTCTGAATAAAAGAGCGCCGTGTCCTCCGCGAAAAGCGCGAGATTGACGTGGGGGTCTTTAGGTATATCGCTCGTGTAGAGCGTAAAGAGCAAAGTTGAGAGGCGGGAGCCTTGTGGTACACCGGCCGTGAGGCGGCGGCTTGTGGAGAGGGTGCTTTCAACTCGATATCGAAAAGAGCGGTTCGACAGGAAGGCTTGGATGGTGTGTACGAACCTATCTGGCACTTTGAGTGTGTACAGCTTGTAAAGCAAGCCGTTGTGCCAGACCTTGTCGAATGCTTTTGCGACATCGAAGAAAAGAGCCCCTGTACTAATATGTTTAGGGT